TAACATGAACCCTGACTGGCATGCGGGCCTTCCGAGCAGACAGCTGCTGCGCTGCCCCTCCTATTCTGGTCAGCGGGCGTTTCACATACAACACGCCGCTCTGTATAGTGCGGGGAGCGATTTTGTTCAACACTCTATTCCCAGTGGCTGGCGCCCAGTCGGCCATTAGTAAACATTTGTAGAGCCCTGACCCGTTTGGCTCAGTGGATAGAGCCTCGGCCTGCGGACTCAAGGGTCCCAGGTTCGATTCTGGTCAAGGGCATGTACCTTGGTTTCGGGCACATCCCCAGTGGGGAGTGTGCAGGAGGCAGCTGATCCATGTTTCTAACTCTCTATCCCTCTCCCTTCCTCTCTGTAAAAAATCAATGAAATATATTTTAAAAAACATTTGTAAACGAATTGTGTCTTTTTGAATATCAGTTTCTTAAATCTATAAAATGTATAGTAATTTGTACTTTAAATTATATTTATGAAATTTAAATAAAGTAACATAAGAGATACCAGCTTAGAATCTGGCACATAACAGTACCTCAATAAATAGATTAGTCGCTGTTCTTTTTTTTTTTTTTTAAATATATTTCTATTGATTTTAGAGAGGGAAGGAGAGATAGAAACATCAATGATGAGAGAGAATCATTGATTGGCTGCCTCCTGCACGCTCCCTACTGGGGATGGAGCCCAAAACCTGGGCACATGCCCTTGACTGAAATCGAACCTGGAACCCTTCAGTCCGCAGGCCAAGGAGCCTGAAGCTCTATCCACTGAGCCAAACCAGCTTGGGCAGTCACACTTCTTTGCAAAGAGCAGAACTCACTCTAACTAGTTTCTAAAAGACAAGCAGCTGCGAATCGTGGGCAGCTCACAGGACCTCCACGGAGGCCTGCCATCTGCACAGCAGACACGAACCCTCCTGGGGCAGCTGCAGGCAGACACCACACGTTCCCGCGCTGGACGCTGGGTGCCAAAACGCCAGCAGTGCTGCCCGGGAAAGCCAGCTCCTCCACGCTCACCCCCTCTCGAAAGGCCATCTTCGGGAGCTGGCCCTGTGATTTGCTGTCTTCTGGACCCGAGAATCGTGCGGGCCCCGCTGGCAGCACCTAGGCCTTCGCCTGTGCTCTGGTTTCGAGAAAGTCCGGGTAATTGAGTTCTGGCTGCTGCCTTAGGGGGCGGGAATCTATCTTGGAGAAAATCCCCAAATATAGGAGGAGGATCCAGAAGATCCTGGACAGCCACAGATTTGACCACTGCCTCCTGCTCAGTGTGTCATTTCAACCTGGAAAGTCTGACCACTTGGAGGTGTGAAGAGAACCCCCCAGGCCTGGGAACGAAGGTCACTAGAGAGCGGCGGTCCTCGGCCCGGCAGGCCCGCAGGAGCAGGTGCTCTGCTAGCACAAGCCCGTGCTTACTGAGAGCTGCGGTCCAGCAGGATGCCTCCAGCTTCGAGCCAGAGCGGATGCACCTAATGTGAACCCACAAAAGGAAGGGGGGTTTTATGAGCCTAATCTAAACATGCAGAAGGAAAAAGAGGAAGGCACATTGTCCGAGCAAGGTTCTTAGTAACCTTGTGAAACAGTCAGATGTTACGTCGTGTTAAGTTTTCCCTGAGCCCTCGCTGAGCTACAATGGAGCTCTTCCTATAGCTTTTTCCAGCTGGGCTTTGAAATGACTGCTGAGAAGATGGGGCCTGATTTCAGTTAAAGTTACTTGGCATCTCCCTCCACACAGCTCCCTCCAGCCCCCTCTGCACTTAGGATAAGGCTCTTGGAGAAATAAAGAGGGCGGCCCTAGCCCATTAGACTCCGTGGATAGAGCATCAGCCTGAGGACTGAAGATCCCGGGTTTGATTCCAGTCAAGGGTCAAGGGTCAAGGGCACATACCCCATATCTCAGTTGCAGGCTAGAGCCCCCAATTGGTACAAGAGGCAACCAATCAATGTGTCTGTCTCACATAGATATTTCTCTCTCTGTGTCTCTCCCCTGCTTCCACTCTCTCTAAAAAAAATCAATGGAAAAAAATATCCTTGGGTGAGGATGAATCAAAAATAATAAATAAAAATAAAAAAATAAAGAGGGGTGCTTTTACCTGAAAAGGTTCTTGGTTCCCCTCTCCACTCGGAGTTTGTTGGTCATTGCCAAGCAGTTGCCTGGGGACCCCCATCCCCGTGTCTCAGTTTGGAAGTTCCCACTGAGCTTTGCTTGCTGGTGCTCGGTGACTGCCCTGGGGCCGCCACCAGGCCCTGCTGGTCACCTCCTGCTGTGCCCCTGTGAGTACCAGGGGCTTCTCTTTAGTCGCCTGTGCTTTCCGAGGCTGATCATGGTTCTGTCTTAACTGCCTTTGTGTAGAGAGAGTGCGGAGCTGATCCTGCAGTTTGTATACTGGACATGTTTTCCAAATTCTCTCATGCAAATTAATTGGGCTGCTGCCAATGCTTCCAGTTACTGGAGGTTTAGGTTTTGCTTTGCTTTAGGCAGAGAGAAGAACAAACTTACCCTGTGGGCAGTAAGTAAACCCTGTGGGCAGCATCCCAGGCCCTTTCAAACGTTCCTCAGTTGTTGGAGGTGAAGGGGGTGGAGGGAGGCCTCCATGTCAGTTCTCTTGGGCCTCCTTCCTGAGATGCTGCATATCAGGAGCATGTTTTCCAGAGCAGAGAGAATCCCAACATGTGAGCTACTAAATGTACATTTTGTTTATGGGGGCTCTAGGACAGCATACTTGACATTGGAATTGTTCCAGAAAGACAGCTGAGTGGTGATTCAGGACATGGTTAGCTACGACGAATGGGAAAGGGAGTTGGAGATGAAGATCAAGGTGGAGCCCCCCAGTGGGCTGATGACAATAGTATGATAGGGTCTAAAGGGGGCGTTAGCTCCCTCTGCCCCTGGAAGGGACTGGACGCTTGTGAGAATGGACTCCTATCGTTCTGTGTCATCTGCCCAACATACCTGTGGCTTCTTCTCCTAATAATGCGCTGGATTTTCTGTGTGCAATCACCCACCCTCTCTCATTTTCAGTTCAAGGTTCACATGGGGTTGACTCCCTCCTCCAGTTCTAAGAGGGTCCCGTGATCCAGGGCTAGCCAATCAGAACATTCTGTTCTCCTGGCCATAGTGCTTGGCTTGGGAGGGGCGCAGGACCCTGGGTTTCAATTTCGGGGCTTCTTTCTTGGACTATGGAGACACAGTACTTCAACGGGACTTGGAGTTCCAGGAGCCTCAGATTGAAGTACATTCTGAAGCCATTTTTCAGAGCGTACCGGGAAGATGGAGGGAGATCTAGCCTTGTTAACAGTATTTGAATCTGTGGGTCAAGATGTTCCAGAATTGAGAAAGATCTTAGACCTTTCAGTTACATAAAATAACACAAAGCCAGTTTGAGATGGGGTTTTAAGTCTTCATTAATTGCTATACATTTCCGGTGAAACTACAGTATATCTCTAAACTTTACCAGCAGATTTCCAATTTCTG